TATTGTCATACGAAAGTAGGAAAATAGGTTCCCTTGTTGAGATAATTCAATTAACGTGATCACTAGCAACAACACAATAGAATTCAGGTGGAAGGCAGTACACTTGCTGATATTTAGGAGTGGAATATCCGATGTTATGCCACCTGTCAAAAGACCGTTGGAATAGGAATATTCGTCCTTTGTATGTAATAGTATGTATAGGATCATTGTGTATTTATATCTGTGCTGAAATGAGGAATTAGTTGAGCTTGTGAAATTATCCAATTAATCCAGTTTTATTACTTGGTATCAAGTCAGGTACAGGAAAAACTAGCTGAAGTTGAACCGTTAACTGTGGATGATGCTTTACAAAGTAGCACCTGGAAGAAGGCCATAGAGGATGAGTACAGTGCATTGCTAAAAAACAATACATGGACATTGGTACCAATTGAACCTGGAATGAAGATAATTGGAAGTAAGAGGGTTTTCAGATTAAAATATGACTCTGAAGGTGTAGTGCAAAGACATAAGGCGAGGCTGGTAGCCAAGGGGTTTCTTCAAACCCCTGGAGTAGACTATAGGGAAACATTCAGCCCTGTGATCAAGGTGTCAACATTGAAAATTATCCTAACACTTGCAGTCTCAAGAGATTGGCACATTAGACAAGTTGATGTGAATAACGCTTTCTTAAATGGGAAGCTCAGTGAAACAGTCTACATGCATCAGCCGCAAGGATTTGTGAATAAGAGAAGTCCAGACTTCGTATGCAAATTAGAAAAAGTACTCTATGGACTGAAACGGGCTCCAAGAGCCTGGCATGAGGAATTGAGAAACACTTTGCTAAAATGGAAATTCAATCAGTCTAAGGCAGACAGTTCGCTATTCTTCTCAGCTGAAAGTGGAGATGTGCTATATATATTGGTTTATGTGGATGATATAATTATAACAGGGGAAAACAAACAGAGACTTCAGGAGGTTATTGACAACTTGAATACTTGTTTTGCCCTTAAAGACTTGGGGAATCTTGATTAGTTTCTGGGTATCGAAGT